CCCGCCTCGGCGGGAGTGTGGCGCAGGGGTGGGCCGCGTCAGCCTGTAGGCCGCTGGGCAAGCTGTGCAGCGTCAGGGTGTCCGAGGAGCAAGGCTTCCCTCTGAGGGGACCGGGGGTGCCCTGGGACAGGCTTCATAGTCAGGCAAGGTGCCTGACCAGAAGCAGCCCTCCTCTTGGCGCGGCTCCCTTTTCAGAAAGGCCAGCACTGCGAGGAGGAGAGGGTTTCAGTAACCCCTGAAATCTCTGTGCCTGTGCCCTAAGGCCGTCTTGCTTGTGGAAACACCGCTGTGTCGCCTGTCCCTGGGGAGGGGACAGGAGGCAGGTGAGGACGTGGCGCTGGGGTTGCGCTGCCCACGGCCCTCCACAGGGTACGGGTGGAGAAGGGTGTTTTCCGTAAAGTTGGAGACTTCCCAGGCTCTGCCTCCTCGTGGGTTATTCTAGCGCTTATTTCCCTCTGCTGCGAAGGGAAAATAAAAACCACAGAGCATTTTAAGCTACAAATGCGGCTCCCAGCACAAAACACCGTGTGTCATTTCCTCCATCTGCCTCCGCAGCGTTGGTGTTGCCTCATCCACGCTAATGGCCCGGCTGGAGGGGCCTCGCGGCAGGGGTGGCTTCCCGGGCAGATGGCTGAACTTCCAGTCTCCTCTCGTAACCACAAGTCTATCTGTCTCCCCCATCCCGTCAGCAATCCTAAGTTTGGAAAGACAGGACCTAATATAGCATGAGGGAGCTAGCTCCAGTGAGATTTTAAGGCCGCGTGGAGTTGTTAGGCTAAGAGAGGGCGATGCTTTGCACCTGAATATCTGCAGCATGCCTTATAATGAGGAGAGGGCTTGTGCACTGACTGGAAAGGCTGCCTGCATGCTAGCAATATCCAGTGTGAGAGCTATCACTGGAAAAATCCCTGCGTTTGGCAACAAGCCGTGCGACTAATTCATCAACGACAGGGCATTGGGGTAATTTTTACAGCTAGAGAAGGGCATGAGCTCCACTGGAAGCAGCAGAGAGGGGACCGGGACATGGGTATTGGGACGTGAGCCAGAGCTGCTAGCGGCTGCAGGAGACTGTCTCCATTTATCTTTTCCTTAATTGGCCTTGGATCCAGACTGGATCAGTTTAAAACTCAAGGACAGAGCTCGCCTAGTGTCTTTAGAGGCGAAGGCTCTCTTTTGCACTGTCAGTGACTGCTGCTAACAGAAACAGCCGACTCTGGCCTAGATCAGTCACTGCACCTCCAGCGTACCTGCCAGGTCCCTTCCAACCCTGTGCCGACCCTGCCAGCTCAGGCCTCCATCGAGCAGCGCCCCGGCTCCCAGCCGTGGGGGATGCTCGCCAGCCCCACGCAGCACACGCAGGGACCTGTGCCTGACACTACCGCACAAGGGAAGCACCGTGCGAGGGGAAAACAGTGCCTTTGGGATTCAGGGAGCTTTGACCTTGCAGGCAAACAAGCAAGCGAAGTCTTAGCTCTGCTTGGGTCACCTCATCGGAGTTAAGGCATCCAGTGTGGCTTAAACTCACACCGGCAGGCAGTAAGTCAGCTCTCGGTACAGTCTTGCTGATCTCATGGTTATTTCTGCAAGCGGACATCATACGAGGTACAGGACGACACAGCTGTGTTCCCTCTCATCTCTGCTTTGATGCCACAGCATGCTCATTCAGCTGGCCTCGTTCTGCCTCAGAAACCCAGGGTTTCAGTTTCTTCTCACACGCCAGTTTGTCACTGGCCCAATGAATAATTGATGCCACAAAGCCACTCCAGCAGAAAAGACTGAGGAAGCAGAGGAGACTTGCTCCAGTAATGTGAGGGGTGGTGACACCTTTTGGGAGGAAAAGGTTCATCCCCCTTCTTAGGCAGATAATCATTCACACAACACAGAGGGACCATCCTCTCCAACACAGGGGCCATCTTGCCCCCAGAGAGGCGACAGCCTGGGCACAGATGGGGAAAAGTTTCTGTTTTGAGTTTTATGAAGCAGAGCCTTCAGCCTGAGTTTCTTCTCTCCCTGGGAAGTGCCCTATGTACTGCTTCCTCGCAGGTGGAGAAGTGTCTCTGTGGAGTTTCAATCAAAATTTCCTCCTCGTCAAACCACTGCCCACAGCTTCCCCAAGCTGCAGCTGAGGCAAAGGAATGTTTTCCAAGGAATAATTCCCAACCCCTTCCTGCACGCTGCAGACAGGCTTTCCAGAAATGCTGTCTGCCCTCCTGCTCGCACCACCAACTTTTGAACCTAAAGGCAAAGTTTACATGCAGTTTGAGAGAGGGGGAGACATCTCAAAGACTGCAGCTCGCTGGCCACAAGCACTGCGTGGGAAGGGAGAGTCATCCCATTGCCAGTAGCAGCAGCGGTGCCAAGTCTGCCACACTCTGCTTTTTCCCCCCAAAAAAGTGCAGGGGGGACTTTGACATTATATCACTGTGATACTTGAAGTCACTGATGAGCCCCACTTAGAGGATCCCCACTTAGAATTTCCTCCCCAGGAACAAGTCAACCCAAGCAAAGGAGTCTGCTGGATTTGCAGCTCAGAAGTCAGCTTGGCCCCTTTCTGCCAAGTGCTTTAGTCAGGTGCTAGAGGTCCTGAGCACTGATGGTCCTCGAGCACCAATATCAAAATTCCCTTTTCTCTT